GCAAATCTCACACTTTAAATCAAAAAGTAGAAAGGATTAAGTTTAGTGAGGAAGGCGTGTCAAAAGCCTAGGTAGGCAGAAAGCTAGGCCTCTTGCACCAAACAGCCACAGTGTGAATGCAAAGGAAAAAGTCTCATAGGAAATTAAAAGTACTACTCTAGTGAACATACAAATGATAAGAAAGTAAAACAGCTTTATTGCTTGTATGGAGAAAGTCTGAGTGTCTGGATAGAAGATTAAACCAGCCACAGTATTCCCTTAAGCCAACACCTAATCCAGAGAAAGGCCCTAACTCTCTTCAATTCTATGAAAATGGAGAGAGATGAGGAAGCTGCAAAAAAAAAAAAAACTGGAACCTAGCAGAGGTTGGCTCATGAGGTTTTAAAAAATCAAGCCATCTCCATAACATAAAAGTGCAAGGTAAAGCATCAAGTACTGATATAGAAACTGCAGCAAGTTATACAGAAGGTCTAGCTATGATCATTGAGGAAGGTGGCTACACTAAACAACAGAATTTCAATGTACAAAATAGCCTTCTATTGGAAGAAGATGCCATTTAGGACTTTCATAACTAGAGGGAAAAAGTTTATGCCTGACTGCAAAGCTTCAAAGAATGGTCTAACTCTCTTGTTAGGGTCTGATACAGCTGGTGACTTTAAGTTGAAGCCCGTGCTCATTTACCATTCCCCAAATCCTGGAACTAAGAATTATGCTAGATCTACTCTGCCTGTGCTCTAGAAATTGAACAATAAAGCCTGATGACAGCACATCTCTTTATAGCATGGCTTACTAAATATTATAAACCCACTGTTGAGACCTACTGCTTGGGAAAAAAACCCATTTATTTCAAAATACTATTTATTGCTCATTGACTATGCACCTAGTTATTCAAGAGCTATGATGGAAAGGTACAGGAAATTAATGGTGTTTTCATGTCTGCTAAGATCACATACACTCTATAGCCCATGGATCATGAGAAATTTTGACTTTGAATCCTTATTATTTAAGAAATACATTTCACAAGGACATAGCTGCCACAGATCATGATTCCTATGATAGATCTGGGCAATTGCATTGAAAACATGCTGGAAAGGATTCACCATTCTAAATGCCATTAATAACATCTGTGATTCATGGGAGGAGATCAAAATATCAACATTAATATGAGTGATTCCAATCTTTATGGATGACTTTGAGGGGCTCAAGGTTTCAGTGAAGGAAGTAACTGCAGAGGTGATAGAAATAGCAAGAGAACTAGAAGTGGAGCCAAAAGATGTGACTAAATTGCTGCAATTTCATAATAAAATTTGAAAGGATGAGTAATTGCTTCTTATAGATCAGGAAAGAAAGTGGTTTCTTGAATTGGACTAAGAAGCTGGCTAAGAAGCTATGAACATTGTTGAAATGACAGCAAAGGATTTAGAACACTATATCAACCTAGTTGATAAAGCAGCAGCAGAGTTTGAGAGGACAGACTCTAATTTGAAGTAGGTAAAATGCTATCAAACAACATCATAATTACAGAAATCTTTCATAAAAGGAAGTGCTGATCCATGCAGCCAACTTCACTTCACTGTTGTTTTAGTTTATAAAATTGTCACAGCCACCGCACCCTTCAGTAATCACTACCCTGATCACTCAGCGGCCGTCAACATCAAGTCAAGATCCTCCATCAGCAAAAAGATTATGACTAACTGATAGCTCAAATGATTATCGTTAGCATTTTTTAGTAAAAAAGTTTATTTTTTTGTTTTTTTTTTTTTTTTGCGACACAGTCTTACTCTGTTACCTGGGGTAGAATACAGTGGTATCATCGTAGCTCACTGCAACCTCAAACTCCTGGGCTAAAGCGTTCCTTCTGCCTCAGCCTCCCATGTAGCTGGGACTACAGGCTAGTGCCACATCTGGCTAATTTTCTTATTTTTAGTAGATATGGGGGGTCTCGCTGTTGCTCAAGTGGGTCTCGAACTCCTGAGCTCAGGCAACTCTCCCCACTCTGCCTCCCACAGTTCTAGGATTACAGGCATGAGCCACTGTGCCTAGCCTAGTTATAAAGTATTTTTAAACGAAGGTATTTTCCTTGTTTTTTAGACATAATGTTATTGCATACTTAATAGACTACAGTATAGTGTAAACATAACCTCTACATGCACTGGTAAACAATAAATTCGTGTGACTCACTTTATTGTGATATTCATTTTAGTGTTGTCCAGTTGTCCATTTTAGTGTTGTCCATTTAGTGTTGTTCCAGTTGTCTGGAACCAAACCCATAATATAATGAGGTATGCCTATATCTATCCTAAACACCATGAGACTCATATTAAAATATAAAGTAATAATCAAATACATGCAAATAATTTCCCTGGGTATTTATGGTGGTCACTAAGAGTTATAGACACTTTAATCATCAATGTCTTCATAATATTTGGAGAGGCAAAATACTAGACATGTAAAAATGATATCAACATTATAAGGCAGAGCATTTGGTGCCCAAATAAATGATGCACAGATAATTTATAGGAAGGAGAGAGGCAAGTTTTGTGGCAATAGATAGTTTTTGAGTGAATCATTAATAAATTAATGCATGTGTATGTATGGAGGGCAGAAAATGGGAGGATGTGTTGGTTGGTGTGCCTGGCATGCTGGAGCTACTGAGATGTTGGCAAAACTAATATTGTAAGAATCATAGAGTTCCCACTGAAAGCTTGGGAGGTTTGCTTTAGATCTTTCATCAAGTCATCCTGAAAACCTGAATCGGGTGGTATTTGAGAATGGCAAATCCTGGATTTCTTACTAATGTTTTATGGAGAAAAATTGTCCAAGAAATGTAATATATATGGTGGGCCCAAAGAAACCTCTTCTCTTCCTCCTTCATCCTTTTTATCCTTCGGCAAACATTTACTGTGTGTCATCTATGTGTCATTCCTATGCCAGGTGCCAGGAATGCAACTGTAAGGAGGATACTGAAGAGGATTCAATTCTCATGGAGGCTTGATCAAGCAAACAGATGCTACACAAATAGAATATAGGAATTCTCTGGAAGATTCTAGTGTTATTTCAAATCTCCAAACCATCTGCATTCATAATGCATATTTATGGTCTATTGTCTCTGTACATAGTGAAGGCAATTAAATATTACCTTATAAACCTTCCAAATATGTCAGAAATTATAAGCTACACTGACCACAATAATTGATTTGCCACTGCAGTGCTACTCCCTCAGGACTGAGAGATAGCAGATATTCTATTTATCTGAAATAGCCGCCTAGATGTTTGGGTGAGAGAATGAGGAATCACTAATCAAACTGAAAATAGAGCCATGTTAAGAAAGCAGAATGTAATTATCCAGTTGGAATTCAGCCAGTACAGTAAGACAGATTCTCTCAATTCCTAAGGAAGAGGGAATTATAGCTTTAAATTATGTTAAGCACCAGCCATGAATATATTTCTGATTCAGGTACAAAGATACCATATTACCTTTTGAATGTCCACCAGTCCTACCTTCTTGACAATCCCACTCCTAGGGAGTTTATAGCCCTAGGAGCTTGGATATGAGCCATGAAAACATTTACTCAGGGAAAACTCATTTCTCTTGTGTGGACAGGAACATTTATATAGTAGACATTTAGAAAAGCTCTATTAGTGCTTAGGGCTGTAAGCTCTCTGAACGAGGAGTAGAAGTGGTGGTACCCAATACATCAATATCAACTCACTGCTAGAAGCTGAGTGCTGTTTAGAAAACAATCTGCGCAATCCTAAATCTGGGAGGACAAGGGCTTTTTTGATCACAGAATCCTTGAGAATTTCTTAAAACCTATGGTCATCCTCTTTCCATCCATCCCCCCCATCTCTTGTGTGTATGTGCCCATGTGCGTGTACATGCATGTGCACACAAACACATGCACACCCCCCACACACACATTCTTATGTGTGGTTTCACAGATGAGGGCATCAACCTCCCTAAATTTAGTCCATGGGCCCTCGCAGACCAGGTTTAGAAAATATAGTTCAGTCAGCTTGATTTTCTATAGGCTGCTGCTTCAGAAGGGGAAAACTCAATTCTCTCCTTTAACACAAGAACTGCTAAGGAATCTTCTATCATCTCAGTGTTCTCTTGTTCGAGAATTGGGTTCAATAATTTGAATATACAGAAATCTTACATGTTGAGTGTCTTTTGTCTTTTCTCTTTATCTCATCAGAAAACAGATTCTATTTTATTTCCTCTCTTCTATAAAAAGGATAGAAAATACTTATTATATGTGGTTACTTACTAAGCTTTAAGTTCATTGTCGCCTTTCTCAATGACAAATTTCTTGGGGTTACCTACTTAAAAATACTTACAAAGGTATTTTACACACTCTAAATGCTTTAATGTTGCTAACATTTTATGATTTTTACTTAGAACACATTAGGGTATCCGAATCAAATAACTCAACTGAATTTTTTTTCTTGGAATGGTTAAAATAAATTACTGGACACCCCAATATGCCAGGTACACTTGGAAGTTACTGCTTCAAAACCACTGTTTTTTATCAAAAACTTAGGAAAATATTTATAACATCTCACTGGGTATTCTTTATTGTTTCAAAAAGAGTTTTTGGTTTAGTTCTCACAGCAAGCATTCGTTTACCCTCTCTTCCTTCTTTCTTTTCTACATGATTTACTACAATGGGACATATTCAGATATTCAATCAACATTTATTGATAATCTACTTTATAAGGCATTGTGTCAGATGGGATGGAGAATCCAAAAATGTATAAGACAGGTCTTCTGGAGAATATAATCAAAGATAAGACACGAACCAGATACTATAAACTTAATGCTATGACTGTATTTATAGTTTTGCTTGTAGAAGTTAAATATATTTCTCGCTAGACTTATTTGGCAAGCAGTAACTATATTTTACCTCAGAACTCCATAGTAAATAGAGGATTTAACATCATCATTTTAAAAATCTCTTATGGAATAACATTTTTTAAAATTAGTGTTTATTTCTTACCAGACAGGGCTGTCAAATTTGCATTTTTGATGAAAATTTCAGTTATTCCAAGAGCCTTCAAAACATCTTTTAAATCAATTTCCTGTTCCACTGTGAACCTGAAGAACATAAAAGGGGAAAAGTATTTAGTTACAGCATCTTGTTACCTGTGACAAGACCAAATGTTAGATGTGTTGATTTTAAAAATCTACTTTTTAGAGGGTAAATTACACTAAAACTGGCTTTTGAGTGCAAGTAGTATTTGTGCTTGTAAAAAGAGCACATCATCAAAGAGAATGCCATAACAAAATAGGATTTAAATTCATAAGTAGGAAAATATATGATATAGACATAAAACTGTAATACATCCTAGAATAAATGAGTTTTGAGATCAAGAATCATTACCATAGTACTATGTAAAACTTGCAAATGAGTGGCTTTCAAAATCTTTTGACCTAGTAAGTAATATATGTGTTTTTTAAAGCTGGTAATGGCTAATCATACATTGGCCCAGGGCATTTCATTATTTTCTTAGTATCTTTCTCAATTTATGCTACTTACTTGCGATCCCCAAACCCTATGGACAGGGTTACATAAAAGCCAAGTTACACTGTAGAATAAATACATTCAGCACTTTAATTCCATACAACTCCGAGAAAGGAAATATCAAATCTCTAGAACATAAGCCTGTTTTCATGGCTTTTCTGTGATGACAGAAAAACCTCACAGTAAACAATTACTTAATTACAGTGAATTAATTATTATGCCTTAAAAATTTTGTGCTTGTATAACTATAGTAACGTTTTGTAAACAAAAGAATAGTGGGTCTTTATATCTTTTTTAATTGACTTTATGAATTATTACATAATACATAAGTATATATCACTTTTATAAAAAGAAATAAACCATTATTTAAAAACTTAAATGAAAATAAGCATAGTGGTCATAAATAGAATATTAACTTAAAAAATAGGTTCCACAGCAAGCCAGATTAATCCTAATATAGAATGTCTCCTAAACCAATGAATTGAATTACCAATTTTTCTAATGAAAGAAATAGACCATACATGCATTAACAAATACATTTTTAAAAAGCAAAGACATGTATTACTTTTTTTACAAAAAGTGAAAACAACTGGTTAGAACTAAATGTTTCCCTTTTTCTAAGATGTTGCCTCCTGATCAATACAGATTATAAATATAAATTTTTAGGCAATAGGTGTGTCCTTAAAAGGGCTAAGTCTATGATAGTCAATAAAAGTTACATTAGCAACCTTTCTGATGTCTGGTTATAAGAAGAATAAGAAGAAAATGATTTCTGTAAATAAGAGGAATGATTAGGAGGAACTAGTTTTACAGGTTTATGTTTATGGAGAAATGACCAATACACGAGTATACATACATCAAACATACTAAACCAGGTACTAATTTGTATCAAAATTTCACACCTGAACTTAACCTTGTTTCTTTTGTTCTCTACCAAAAGCAGATATTGATTGTGAAAGTGGCATTGTTCTATGGTGCACATCTCAAAAAGGGAATGAATAGGAAAATATGGAATATCTTACAGAATAGATTCAATGGCTTAAGGTGATGTGGTGTGTGTGTGTATGTATGTGTGTGGTGTGTTTATTGTTATTCATTTTTGAACATTTATATCGAGCTTACTATATACCAGAAACTGCTCCAAGAGTGTAAAAAAAAGATTAATTTAAATATCATCACAGTCCTTTGAAGTCAGTATTATTACTACCCTCAGGAAATAGAAGAAGAAATTTGAGTGGCAGATAGATGAAATAACTTAACTAAGGTAATACAGCTAATAAGTGGCAGAGCAGGGATATGGATCCATGTGGTATTATACATGTCCTGATCCATCTAAAATAAGAAGGTGAAGGAAAATATCAGGAGGGGCTCTGTTTTCTTCTTAAAAGCAACTTGGTTTGTTTCACACTTTTGCAGCTGGCTGGTCAGGTGGTGGTTAAGTAACTGATTCAAGTGAACTTGGAGAAGTTCCTTAATTTCTGAGCCTCAGTTTTGGCATGTGAAAAATGGCAATAGTTATATCTACTTTGTGGCATTGTTGGAAGGATTAATAAGGTTTCTAAAAGTCTTAGGATGGTGCTAGCATGCAGGAGGCATGCAACGTAGGACATACTATTACTAGTGTGTACTACGTCGAAGTTATGCATGTCACATTATTATAGATGTTAAGGTGCTGTATATTTACATTCTAGAAGTAGTTGGAATAATTTTATTAAATAGCTGTATTAATTCCTGCTAACCTAAATTAGTCAAATCTAGTGCTTTATTCATTTTAATATTTGTAGTGTTTGGCATAGGACAAACCACATAGGTTGAAGTGGCATTAAATTCAGGTATTATTAAGATTTTTTTGTTCAAAGTTGAAGACAGAATGTAAATAATATCCACTTGTCCATTTGTTGTTTTTTTTCTTACCAAACTATTGAAAAATAGCTATTATTCATTTATTATCTCTCTTCCCTTAATATCGGCTAATATTAATACAAATAATCATTATCATGTACCATAAATTGAGTGCTTACGATGTCCCAGGCACTATGAAAATACTTTTATGTGCGTAGTATCTAGTTAATCATTTCTATAATGATCTCAAACAACTCTATGAGATAGGTATTATTATCTCTGGACTACAGAAGAACAACACTAAAGCTTTACAAAGCTAAGCAACTTTCCATAATCACAGGTAATAGGTGGAAGAACAAGAATACGAACTAAGGTCTTTCTGATTACAAAGCCCCCCATCACTGATCACTAAGTATAACAATGGCTTTTCAAAATAAAACAATATTAGAGCCGGACTTTACATTTTACTGAGTGTAAAAATAAAAAGCCATAACACTTGCTTTTTGTAAAGCCAGAAAGCATGCCTGTTTTAATAAAGGCATACAATGCAATTATGCATTTGCAACTTTCTGTCTGAATAAGTCAGAGAGGTCTGTTGGCGGGAGAGGGATAAAGACTGAGTAGACCTGTGAAGCAAATCTTAGAAAAGAACAAATATATATCCTATGTAAGATATTAGAAAATGTATAAGCAACTAAAAAACAAATCAAACCCTTTGTAGGAAAACCTAATGAAAAGATTCATGTTAAAGAACAAAATCAGGTGGCTTACGTATTGGTTTTCTTTTTAAACATGGAACTAAAATACTTTGTTCATAGACAATCATTTCAAAATATCAGGATGGTGTCTGGTTACAAATGGACAACTTCTTCACATCCTTTGATTTCCAACACTCTAATCACAAATGACAAATCTGAGACTGCAAATGTCAGAATAGACTACAGTGGGATGCATCTGCATTCCAAATATTAAGATCTTTGATGTTGATTTTAGAAAAATATTCTTATACGTAAGATATATTAGTAAAGTCTGAAAAGGAAGAGTATACATTAAAGAGAGTAAAATTTTAGAGAGTCATATTTTTAAGGAAATTCCATTTAGAGAAAAGTATATATAATGCTACTTAAAGGTTAACACAAGATAAATACTAGGACTTAAGAGGTACACTAAACAAATAAACAATAATATTAATAATAGGTAATAATTATATGATGCTTATTCTGTGCCAGATTTTATTATAAAATATTTTTTAGGTATTTTACATATATATTAGACAAACTATTTTTACTATCATGGATACATAGGAAGATCTGGCAATTATATTTAATTCTTAGAGATGTACAACTGTGCACAAATCTTGTGGTATTTCATTGGATTTGGTGATATCACATCGATATGGCAATCTTTTTTTTAAATTTTTTTATTTCAGCATATTATGGGGGTACAAATGTTTAGCAATCTTTCTCTTGAATAGATTCTTGTATTTTGGACAAAAATATGATTTTAATTTAGCATTGAATTTGTGTAAGATGTAGGATGTATTGTTTGGGAAAAAATTGTAAAAAGACTAAAGTAATTACTTTCTCTACACTCCCCCAACCCCCAACAATACTGTCTCTTAAGGACAGTATTGTAAAGCTGTTTGTATAACCTCTAGTATAATTCAAAGTAAAAGTACCTGTTAAGAAGGACAAGAATGTGGGCCAATTATAGAAATGCAAAGTTGCATTTTCAGATAATATCTGTCTGTGAATGAAACTATATAAGCCATTAAAGACTGACACTTAAGTAAACCTTGAACATAACTATTAGAAACATTTTTACGTTTGCTAAAACTGGGTCACATAAATCTTTACCTTCATCGAACACTTAGTGGACACTAATGCTGTAAAATGAAGGATGGATAGTTTTACTTTCATTACTGTAACAGATAAGTATTTGCAAACAGTCAATCTCTTATAAACAGAAAGCAAATTTACCCTATCTAGCTATTCAGTCTATCTATTCAGAGGGAAAGTTCATGGAACTCCTGGAAAATGGCTACATGGTAATTAGCTGTGTCTACTTTAGTAACAGGCATTAATATAAGCAAGAGAGCTAAACTATTTCATAATTGAAGAATATCTCTTAGAAAATGCAAATTTAATTTTCTTCTGCTGTCACATTCAATTTCTCAGTGGACAGAACCTGGAGGCTATATTTTCTAGTGAATATGATTGAATTAGAATACATGATACTTATTAACCATTCCTTTAGAACCCTGTTAAAATATTCCTAAATAACTCTGCATCATTACAGAATGGAAGCATTTGGAGACACTGCACTTAATTCATGGATCTAATAAGGGAAGCATTACACTGTACTGAATTTCTCATATTATCAAAAGGAATTCCTTATAAAACACAAGTAAAAATACTAAATTAATGATAAAAGTTCACCAGACAAGGATAATCACAGACTAAATATTTTAAAGGTTTAGACTTGATTTAGATAGCAATTGATATTTAGTTCAAAAGTAAATTGTTCTCTGAAGATACATTGTTTACCTATTAAGTGTGTAAAAGTCAATTCTCAAATATTTAAAAAACTTGGCTCTATTTATTAGTTATTCATTGACCATCTGTTCTTAAAAATAAACTTATAGTAGAATCTTTTTACATAATTGTACTGTCATGGAAAGTTATGCATGCTAAATATCTTAGCCAAAAAGAAAAAAAATCAACCATTGGAGTTATGCTTACCTTAATTTTTATATGTAGACTAAGAAATATATGGCTATATATTAGGTATGAAAATATATTATGAATATATAGCATCATATAATGCTCTATAATGAATATGTAACATATTATATATTTTGAGTGGCTAAGTTTTTGTAAAAATAGATATTTACATAAGATGTAACTTTTAAATGATAATCCCTAAAATTAGAATAAAGATGAGTTAGTTAATGCATGTTTGCTCAGGCTGATCTCGTTAACTCCTGGCCTCAAACAATCCTCCTTCCTCAACCTCCCAAAGTGCTAGGATTATAGGATAAACCACCACACCGGGCCAATAATTTAGCTTTAATACTAATGTTTTATTTATCACGTTTCAATGTTCATAGTAATTAATCATACTTGAATAACTTTCTTAATATAGAATGAGTGTTAGAACTATACTTCCACATATATATACACATTTATACTTACCTGTTATTGACTTTTTTTCTTTATTAACAGGTTTAGTGGGTACAAGTTGAATTCTATTACATGTATATATTATATAGTGGCAAAGTCTGGGCTTTTGGTGGATATTCATTTATAAACTAAAATTCACACGTTGTTTTTATAAACATGTTATATGTGTTTATTGTCCTACCTCACCTACTGGGTTTTAAGGTATTCAAAGACAGAATAAATATCTTCTGCTGGGCTTTGTTTTGTAAATACTTATTGTATTCCTGTTATAGGAGGGAGAATTAGCTATACCCTAGAAGAACTTACAGAAAGAAAAGAAGAACCACAAAAAGGTAATGTTATTGTGGGATGATGACAGGCAATAAATAACAGGGAAGAAGTATATAAGTGGGGCCAAAGTGAGGGCCACTTGCTCCATCAGGTAGTTTATGGCAGGCTTCCTGGAAAAACTAGTGCCAGAGCGTCACCTTGAAGGCTAAGAAACACTATATAGCAAAGAAATGGGAGGGGGCCATTTTAAGCCAAGGCAAGAACATAAATGGAGATTCAAAGGCATGAAAAGTGTGATGGAGTGGCATAACTACAAGTCCCTGGATAAAACTTGCTACAAAATGTTTGATGTGAGTGGCCAGAGTTGGGGTTAAGGAAGTGGATGATAGTTAGGACATTAAAGGCCTTTTGTGGATTTTATTTTTTCAGCCACAGGGAGAATTTTGAGCAGAGTTGCTTCTTCCTGCCAATTTATGTTTGCATGTCAACACTTAGCACAGTGATTTGCTTATGGTTCTTCCAGCAATGTCAGAGATTGTTTTCTCTCCAGCTTTAATCGATTTTAAATATTAATGAAATACAGAAGACTGTTAATGCAAATGATATTCAGAGACAATCTATTGAAAAATCTTCTAAAACAAAGCTAAGAATGTTGAATTATATCTGAAATCACCTCTTGGTAAATAGTACCGAATCAATCAGCTAGTGAGCATTTGTCTCCAGGCAGGACCATGTGAGTATGAAAAAATATGTTTTAAAAAATCAGAAGAAGAAGAGAATAAGTACAAGTCTTAAAAATCAAAAGCAGTTCCAAGAGGTTTTTTGGGTCAGACCTTCATTGATAGCCTTCCCTCCATGCTGTGGGAGGGGTTAAATAGAAGCCTCTCACCTAGGCAAGTATACTTCCACTTTTTGCTTCTTCACAGAGTTCGCCCATTCTTCAATCAGCTGCGGTTTGACCAGTGGCTCTAGAGTAGCCAGTGGAACTTCCTGTCTGGACAGCACCAGCATCATGCTTATCTCATCTCCCTCATACGGTATTTCGAGGACTTGGTAGATTCCACCAGCTTCATTGGAGCCATCACTAAATTCTCCTAAAATGAAACAAACAAACAAACACAAAACCATAAAAGGCATATATCGAATTAATTTTTTAAAAAAATAAAATTTGTTAAAAGTTTATTCCAAAATGGCATATAGAATATAAGTAATTCAGACATCTGAGAAAAAGAGGTTTTATTTGAAAACAGGCTCTGAAATTCAAATGAATCCTCAGCTCTGTAGAATTTATTTTATTGTAGAATCCACAGAGTTATTTCACATTTGTCATTAACATGTTCTCTGGATTTGCTTTTCATTTTTAAATGAGATAATTCAATATATTTAAAGGATATCATTAGAAACAATGAAAAGTCCTGGTTAGAAAAATAAATCACTGGCTCCAAGTGGGATATAAATTGCATTTATCAATATCCACTTGGTTTTTAAGAAGGGAAAATTTGACCATGTAATAATCGTCACTCTATTATCATCATGACTACAAGTTTGGAAGCAAAGATTGTACAGCCAAAATGAAATCTAAGCACTCTACAATAGTTATCTAGTGCATTTATGACAATTAAGGTCCCCAAATTACATAATTATGTAAATACATTTATTGGCTTTGTGCTCTACGAATTTAGCCAAGTTAACTAGGCTTACATATTTAAAAAAAAAGTCTTTAAAACAGATTGTTCTGCCACCACTTTAAAATTTTTTCTATTTTCAAAAATAAGTATAATGTTTTTGTTATGAATATTTTTCTATATCTGATCAAAGTCCTTTAGATATCACACTAAACATTTTGATTTTCATATAAATAGGTATTTCTTTCCTTGTTTTGACTGTTAATCTGCTCTGATTAAAATCTTTTAATATGACAATATACTTTTAAATAGAATAAATAATTAGTTCTAACATATATTTGGCTTAAAATTACATTTCTGCTTATGACTTAACAAATTAATATAATTTATTATAGTATATAGGAAGGAATAATACCCTAAACTTCTGAAGAGTCCAATGAAACATCTGAAAATAATGTCAAGGATATTGAGTCATATCACAAATTATAGGCTCTCAATAAATAAAACAATGAATGAACAATTATGTCTGGCTATACATATACAAGTATATGAAATCAAAATTTTAAAGGAAAAAAAGTTCTTGAATGAGAAGAATGCTTGAAATTCAAAAGGCGGTACAGGGCCCAAATCATGTGCTTGTTGGAACATCTGGTTCACTAAAACCCATCACAAAGCCAGTGACTTTTTGGAGTAAATCAGAATGTTTTTGCACAGTGTCAGGTATTTTCAGATGAATAAAGCCATTCTGCAGATGTCATCAAATTTATAAATTAAAAAAATATTGAAAAACTGTCAATGCATATAATATTCACTCAAGATCTAATTAGAGGCCTTTGAAAAATGGAGCCAAGGAAATTTAATTGTAGCCCAAATTAAATTGACAAAGAATTAGAGTAATGAATATTTCATGCTCTTTCTTAGAAATTTGTTGATATACTGCAAGAAGAGGGAAATAAAAGCCAAAATGTCTTACCATAATAAAATTCTCCTTGTTGATACATCATTGGAATTTGTACTTCACTTTCATCATCTTTAGTGAAAGAAAAGGTTCTAGTATTTTCAGGTCTAAACTGTGACTTCCAGTTCCCCTTGAAATAGACGGCATTGATGAGGGCCAGATGAGTGGCAGCATCAAAATCCCTTGGGGATACCAAATCTTTCAACAGATCTATTTAGGAAAAAATGAACAAATAAAAATCTACATTAAATTGGAAGGTGAAGGGGGACCAAAAGATTATCAAACTGCCATCTGATAAAATGGTACAGAAAAACTGTATACCAAATTTATTGAGGTCATTACATATGAAATGTCCGATATTGAATCTAAAGTTTAGTAGTTTATTATATCTCAAACAAAAAGCAGAGCAATTAATTAAAGTATGCCCCTATACTGTCAAAACAGTTTTGCCCTCTTGATGGTAGCTTGTTTATGCCAGCAGTGAAGAAGCCTACAGAACGAGTGGTGATGAAATTGAGAAAGATGTTTTCCACAGCTTGTTGAGAATTGAACATTTTTCCTTGCACGCAGTGGTCCAATACCTGGAAGAAGTGGTAGTCAGTGGTGCAAATATGGTGGATGGCAGAGTTTCTAAGTCCAAGCTCTGTAGTTTGAGCAGCATTGTTTGTGCAACATGTGGTGGAGTGTTGTCTTGCAAGAGGATTGGTCTGTCTCTATTGAACAATCTCTGCTGCTTAATTGCAAGCATCGACATCATTTTGTCCAAATGGTTGCAGTAGACATCCGCTGTAATCAGTTGACCAGGTTTCGTGAAACTGTAGTGTATAATACCAGCAATGGACCACCAAAAAATAGACACTGGTTAGCTTTTTTGATGAATACTCAGTTTGGGACTGTGTTTCAGCACTTCATCTTTATCCAATCATTGTGCCAAAAACTTGGGATTGTCAAAAAGAATCCATTTTTCATCACACCTAACAATACAGTGTAGAAATTGTTCTCCTTTATGTCATGAGAGCAAAGGAAGGCAAGCCTCAAGACGATTTCTCTTCTGACACTCATTTAATTCATGATGTACCCATTTATCCAGTTTCTTTACTTTTCCCATTTGTTTCAAATGATACAATATTGTTGGAATAGTGATGTCAAACCTTGCTGCTAATTCACATGCAGGTTTGAGATTGACTGGCTTCTACTACAGCTTTCAGCTCATCATTATCACCTTTGTCTCTGGTCGCTCACATGGCCCATTTTCAAGATTAAAATCACCAGAACAGAACTTCTCAAAGCATTGATGTGCTACATTCTTCCCAAACACCTAATTGATATTTCAAGCTGTCTGCGCTGCATAGGTTCCACGATAGAACTCATATTCAAAAATAACACAAATTTTTGACTTATCCATGGTTTCACAAAAATTACTCTAAACAAATTTGAAAGATAATTAATAAGCCAAATCATACATTTGAAAGAATGAGGATCTACCTTCATAATAAAAATAAAACAAGAAGTGTCAGAGTGAAATGGCAGAGATAACAACTGCCAAACTTAGTACGTAAGGAAATCGGACATTTCATACTTAATAATTTAAAACACAATACAAATTAAAAGTATCTTACTTTCAAAGGACAAAAACTACACACACACACACATACAAAATTATATATATATTAGCAATATAGGGCATCCAAATACTCATACCACCTAACATAATACTGGTAGCATCTTGACACACAAACTACGAAACCACATAAAACAGGATCTCAGGCTTCACCACCTTCTAGTTGCAATGATACATGTAAAACTCTTAACACAGAATAAGCATTCAATCAGTGTTTCTAAATTTATTCTTGAACAAAGTACTCTATTAAATTTTATCCAATTCAAACTTTTCCTGCATGTATATTAATGGGACATCTTTCTGCCAGTATAACAACTGCTTTTGACTAGGGGAAAACAGATTAGTGAAAGCCAATTTAACTCATGATGGATTATTTTCTATCATTTGAAACATTCCTTTCCAAGTCTATTTTTAAAAGATATTGGGTCTTTGCTGTTTGCTAAAGTGTCCAATGAAGTTTAAAAACAAACGGATTTTAATAATTCAAACTATTTCAGGTGGATTATTACGCTTAATTTATTCTTTGTTGAAAAAACTAAATATAAGTTTCTTTTACCCTACATTTTAATCTCATAGTTAAAAAACACAGGACCAAAATTTGTTCTGTATTCTTTCATTTTATTAATCATAGCATTTAAGGTAAAAGGTGCCTCAGCATTTTGGGATTATAGGATACTCAGTATCTTATTTGTTGCTAAACAGCTTCTAGTCTGTGAACTAACACACCCACAGATTCCTACGAAGCAAAGCCCTGCAAAACTCCTGAAACTTTTCACGTCTCCTAGCCCTATTTCTCAACATCTACTTTTAATGTGGTCTCATTTTTTTTAGATCCTAACTTCAATTATTTTGCTAGTAAAATTGAAATATAAACATTTATAAACTTTAAGTACATTTTAAAAATATGAAATAGAAATGAAATCTAGAATAAATGCATCTCACCCTATTTCCTCTCCATTTTTTGGGTTTAAAATGAGCAGCTTTTAAAAAAATGAATCCTATACAAGTTTTTTTGATCACTGAACAAGTTCTGTGGTTCAAAAGCCAACAAACATCTTTAAACTCTGATTTTTAAATTTCTTATTCTATGTTAATCATATCATTAAGAGATCCACCAACTGCCATTCTATCTAGTAACTAATCCACTAGTCAGCTCAAGCAAAATTCCATACAGTAGTTGAGATTACTGTACAGAGGAAACCCATCCATCAGAAAGCACAGATTTTAGATTATCAGTGTCAAATTCTATATACACCAAAAGATTTAACTTTCTCAAATATTCATTCATAAACAATATTTCTAAAGTAGACTGTACTCTATACTAAATAATTATTAGATACTCAACTAAATACTAGCTAACATTCAAAATATAAAAGGAGAGGATGCTTTCAGAAGTAAAAGATAGTTAAAACTAAGCTAGTCAAGAAGGAAAGGAACCAAATGACATACTGTTTGTGTTATTCTCCACCCACTTATTAATGTGGTTGGCCACGGCTATATTTTGACTGAAGTCCACACGATTTACTTCTGCATTAAAGTATTTTTTCAGCATTTTCAAAAACTCATCATTGATATGAAATCCATTTTGCACAAAGAGGGAATTGGCAATTTTCATCACATACTGGCTCTCTTCAGCAGTTACCATGTTAGAGAAATCCTCCAAGAAAGAAAATTCTTCACCTGCAAGATGACAGAGGACAAGTTTATTAGTGGAACAAAAACGGTGAAAGATCAAGGAGAGGGAAGAGGCATTAAAGCACAAGGCAGATTAACAGAAAAATGGCCCAAGGGAAAAGTGCCAGGCTTATTCCCCACATTGACATGGTAAGGAAGTTCCAATACTTGTACTATTTCTAGATGTTCAAATTAACTTTTTGCAGCTTAATATTATTAACTGATGTTATTTTTTATTCTGTTGTCATCTTGCTAGAATCTGCAAAGTAGAGATTTTTAAGTTGTTTTCTTTCAAAGTACTCATATTACTTTCATTAAATCAGTCTTATTTTATAATTATCAGAATTAATTATCGAGTTTAAAATCCAAGATATTTCTTTAAATTTTACTCAGTAGACTTCTGAAAAATCTTATAAATAGAAAATTAGAACATACTAATAATTCTTAGCTTCTTAATGAGTTAATTGACATGTATATTAGAAGTATTAAAATAAAAAGCATACATCATGTCAAAGTGATTACAAAATACCTTTTGGCTAGAAATTTCCTCCAATAAATATAATTTTTATAAGATAACATTTCAATAAGAGGTCTTGGATGCTATTTAAGCAAGGATGATATAGTTGATTTTAAGCAAAAATTCCAGATATTCCTAGAAAACTATGTTGTCTTTCTTTGTAGCACTCTTCATAGCTATAAATTTTCATTTATTTGTGTGATAAATGATTAATATATGCTTCTCCTTCTAGACTGGAAACACCAGATAATGTTTGTTTTTGTCTATCACAGTGGAGTTTATTTGTAATAATTTTAAAAAGATGTAATTTCCTTAGATTCACTCAGCCAGAAATGGAGCCAGAGCCAGAATTAATACCTTTCTTGGGCTTCCTAATTCTTTTCCTAGCCACACCATCTCAATGAGATCATTTCTTACCCTATGTAAATATTGCTGCTTCTGGCATAAGAAGACAACATAACTGAATTAGAAGATAAGTCAAAAGTCTTGAGAAATCAAACCTAAGCACACTTACCATTTTTCAGGCTGTCATACCCCATTGAATGGCGGATTTCTTTCTGGGTAGACCCTTGGGCCCCAAGTTCCATCATTCCCATTGCAAGAGCAATACTCAATGGAGAAAAGAGAATATTTTCATCTTCCCCTGTAGCTCTAAGATGGTTATACATATTCACTGACAACTCAGTGATGGTTTCACCAGGGAAAGTGGCCCCTAAAGCCATGCTTTGTAGAATCAGCAAAGAGAAGAGTCCAAGGAAAGCCATGTTGGAATGATTTCAAGCCTAAAAAATAATAATTTGCATATTAATTATTAATTTTCTTCAAGAAATGAGGGACAGGTAAAAATATAAAGAATTATTTCTTGGCAAAGTTGTAAAGCAAACCAAAGATTTTTAAACACATCCTGTATGTCTTTAGTATCTCTATAACAAAAGCCTCATAAAAGGATATGATAGAAGGTTCTACTTTTAAAAAGTCAATTAATAGTCAAATGAACAAATAATACTGCTAAATTGTGAGGATTCTCACAGGAATAAGGTAGCCATGGTCTCCACCTTCATGGGGTTGAGAGTATGTAAAGTTACATATCCAGCAAGTAATTTTAAGTCACGTTTGGTGAAGCTAATTTATCAATTTTTTGTAGTCTTGCCACATATATTTTGATCATGATTTCGTACCAACTTATTCTAGCTTCTAATAAACTATGTAGGTCCAGGACAAATACAATAAAAATCAAAAGATGTTTGCAGGGTTTAAGATTAACTAGCATAGTTAAGCAATAGAAAATGTCACTTTACTCATTTACTACAATTTATAAAATTAATGCACCTTGCAACTGGGTTACCAACTGGCAAGAAGAGATCAGACACACACCTGCCACAAGTCCCAATGTGCTCAGCCCAGGCTGCAGAACCCACAGGAAGTGGTAACCCAGGGGAGCAGCTCAGCACATCCTGTGTGGTTGGTCCTCACAGGTTGGTTCCAGTGAGGCTGCTGCTCCCAGTGACAATCTTTGGGCAGGGAGGAGCCTCCTGCTACAGTTGAGAATGAAGTTGAATTCTTGCTACATTAATGGGGTGGGGAACCTAAGGCCTCAAGGCCACATGTGGCCCTCCAAATCCCCAAGGTGTCGCCTCAACCGAATCCAAACTTCACAGAAAAAATCCCTTTATTAAAAGGATTTGTCCTGTAAAAATTGGATTCAGTCAAAAGGCTGCACTCAGGATCCAGAAGGTCATATGTGGCCCTAAGATCGCAGGTCCCTCACTCCATTGAATATTTCTAATTTTCGGACTCATCTTGTTCTTGCACCAAATGGAAGGGCTTGAAGGCCACATTTTCTCTTGGGGGGAGAAATGTCAGTGCCCAGATAGCTCTTGAGTAATATTTCTGCCTCTTGGCATGCCAGTATTCCAGAAGCCCGGTCTCCCACAAACAAGCTGACTTGCACACACTGTGGACAGGAATCCCTCTTTTTTCTGTATGCATCCTTCCACTTTGTCCCTGCAGGCAGCTAAACTGCTTATTTAAACAATTAAGTAACTTACTTGTTCTTGATCATTTTAAAAAAATCATCATTAAAACAACATGTAAAGTAATATTGTGCAAACATATTTGGTAAATTGTATTTTAATTAGGATTGTGCATTAACAGTCTCCACTACTCAATTAACAGAGTACACACTCAATTAAAAGAGTGCATACACATTTAAATGTAGAACAATATGTTTCCAACAGGCTTTTAAGTTGGAAGATCCTAATCAGTCCTGTAATATTTGCAATTCTGATGTCAGAGAACTGCCTAGTCACTTTGTAAGTCCTCTACATTTTAAGATTAGAAGCATCAGGTTTTTTTTATTTGTCCAAAGGTCCTCAGCCCTCCTCTCCCCCCAGCATTTGTATTAGGGGTTAAATAATTCTTGCTTATTTAGGAAAGTATGGCTTAGCATATATGTAAGTATGGACTCTTGCAACCTCCACTGCTAATGGGATGTCTGCTAATGAGAGATGAAGTGCACCGTTGCAGGACAGGGTCTCATTCATGCAGAGTTGGGACAGAGCCAGGTGCCAAGAGCACAGCAGCCCTCCCTGCCAGTCTACTAACTTCAGCCACCATTGGGAGGCCGCTACTTCTGTGGCATTCTCCCTTCCTTTTGTACTCGAGAGAACTCCAGGAAAAGATGGAAGCTTGACTCTAGTGTTTGTGTTGACGCTGGTGTAAGCAAACCTACTAAGCTTCCAGCTGCATAAAAGTTTATCACATACAAATATGTACAGTATATAATACTTGATAATGATAATCAACAATTATGTTTCGGTTTATGTTTTTACTGTTAATTGTTTTGTAAGTAGAGTGTATTCCTTCTACTTAAAAAAGTTAACTGTAAAAGAGCCTCAAGCAGGTCCTCCAGGAGGCATTCCAAAAGAAGGCATTGCTATTATGGGAGATGACAGCTCTATGCATGTTATTGCCCCTGAAGACCTTCCAGTGGAACAAGGTGAAAGTTAGTGATATTGATCCTGACCCTGTGTAGGCCTAAGCTTATGTGTGTTTGTATCTTAGCTTTTGACAAAAAAAGTTTAAAAAGTAAAAAAATCAAAAATTTTTAAAAATAGAAACAAGCTTACAGAGTAAGGATATAAAGAAAGAAAATATTTTTGTCCAGCTATACAATGTGTTTGTGTTTTAAGCTAAGTGTTATTACAAAATAGGCAAAAAGTTTAAAAATGTTTTTAAGTTTATAACTTCAAAATGTTATAGTAAGTTAAGGTTAATTTATTACTGAAGAACGAAAAATATTGTTTTATAAATTTAGTGTAGCCTGGGTGTTCAGTGTTTATGAAGTTTATAGTAGTCCACAATAATGTCCTAGAAGACTTCACATTCACTCATCAATCACTCACTGATTTACCCAGAACAACTTCCAGTCCTGCAAGCTCTATTCATTGTAAGTGCTCTATGCAGGTGTACCTTTTTTTTTTTATCTTATACCTTATTTTCACTGTATCTTTTCTATGTATAGATATGTTTAGATATAGAAATATTTATTTAATAGTGTGTTACAATTGCCCACAGTATTCAGTGAAGTAACATGCTGTACAAGTTTGTAACCTAGAAGCAAAAGGCTATACCATATGTTGCCTAGGTGTGTCGTAGGCTAGTCATCTAGGCTTGTATAAGTACACTCTGATATTCACACAAGGATGAAATCGCCTAAAGACTCATTTCTTCAAACATATCACTATCATTAAGCAATACATGCCTGTGTATGACCAAGAAATTAAATTCTCTGTATGATGGCTGCATCTATCAGTCCGTAACACAACTATTTAGAAACCACTGTATTTAACATGAGTATCAAATTTTAGGCTAATAAAAATAATTTGTTCATATAAAACAAAAACCAACCTATTGCCAATAAGCATTCCAGAAAATGGGTCAGGTCTGTTATGTTAATAAGCATTTTTATTAGAAATGAATTTACAATGAGATAATAACAATAGCTAAGTATTTACAAGGACTATCTTACTTAAACTTTGCACTCACCCTATGTGTATTCTTACTGTCGCCATTTTAGAAAAGGAAACGCAGGTTTACAGAGTTTAGGAATTTGCCCACGATTATATAGGAAGTGCTAAATCAAAGACTGGAGCCCAAGTCATCCTTAAAAGGGCTTTAACTACTAAGCAAAACTGCCTCTCCAGTCCTTGAACAAGTGAGAAGATATAGGACTTGGAGAACAAAGGCTTGGATTTAAGTCTAAGGTCTGATAACATGCTCTTGGACCTTCAGCAAGTCACACATATTCCCTCAGCCTTAGCTTCCTCATTCATGAAATGAAGATTCTAATCCCTACTCTGCAAAATTATTAAAGAAACAAATGAGAGTGTGTGTGTGAAGCACTCATTTTAAGCTACAAGTTATACTAATAGAGGGCATTATTATGAGAAAACGTTTCCTAGGTATGTGTATTTTCTAAGTTAAACAAGAGGCTATGGAGTATTTTATAATCCCCGTTGGCCCACTAGCCAATGTAGCACCATTAGCCATTCATTCAGCCAAAATTTATAGAAGTTCCATGAAGACATTAAAATACATAAAGACAGGCTCTTGTACTCAAGGAATACACATCACTGTGCAAGAGTGCACAATGTGGCTCTTGTAGTGGCTCTTCAAACAAACAAACAAACAAACAAAAGATCCTTTGGAGAATTAGGAGAGTAAATCATCCCTTCAGAAAAATGCATGCACTTGGATAACAGAAAATTATATCTACTGGCCAGGATACTGACTGACCTCAGGTTAAGAAACCCTGGTCTCCAGCAAATGGTCTAGATGGAGAAAGAAGCAGTGTTTGATGGATCTGCAGTTCTGCAGGTTTCCTTTACAGGAGAAAACGGAGATGTCAAAAATATTAACACATCTTTGGGCTTATAGAACACCTGGAAAGAGCATCCATTATATTTGCGAGAGAAGGCTCTTCCAGGGCAGTGAGCAGCAGGCCACTGATGACACACACTGCCAGCAAATAGGAGCCATGTGGCTATGAATGGTGGGAATAGGTCATGTCAGGGAACTCTTCAGCAGAGATTGAAATAACTCTGATGTGGAAACACACATTTATCTTTCCTCCTTTTAAAGGCAAGATTTCCAGTTTGCCAGCAAAATTACTCTGTTAGTCTGTTTCAACCTTTCTGATCCCACCTACCCTGCCCCTGGTATCTGCTTCCTCCTACCTCTGCTGCCTCTGACTATGCCTGAGTTTTCCTTTTCCTTTTTTTTTTTTTTTGCTAAGAGTGGTCAGAGGTTTCCTTTCCCTGTTCTATGCTCTTTTTTGACATTATTTCAGATTTGGAGACTTTTTTCTTTCTCTTTTTTTTTTTTTTTTTTTTAAGAGACAGGATCTTGCTTCCTTGATTAGGCTAGAGGGCAGTGGTGTGATCCTAGCTCACTGCAGCTTTGAGCTCCTGGGCTCAAGCAATCCTCTTGCCTCAGTCTCCTGAGGAGCTGGTACTATAGGTGAGCACCACCATGCCCAGCTAATTTTTCTTATTATTTTGTAGAGACAGGGTCTCACTATGTTGTCCAGGCTGGTCCCAAACTTCTGGCTTCAAGCAATCCTCCTGCCTTGGCCTCCCGAAATACTGGGATTGCAGGTATGAGCCACTATCTGGCCTCCCTGTTCTATGTTCTAAGTGTAGGTGCTCTCCATGGATCTAGTCTTGGTCCTCCTCACTTCTCTATAGTACACTTCTCACACCTGCTGGTGAACTCTCAAATC